TACTCATCAAATTTTAAATTATTGCAAATTTGGTGTAAAATGTGCAGTGCTTTCAGTCTGATAAGAAAAAGCCTGCAATAGAAAATGTCCCTTCTCTTTCATATCTATCATGCAGACTTAAGGTGCTGGAACATTAGCGTTAAAACTTGAGACGAGATTTCAGAGTTAGAGTTTTTACYATGTTCATCTTTTACCTTAATAAATGTGCGATTATTCTCTCTCACTTTCGCTTGATACAGACGTTTGGATGATTCAAGATGGTTTTTCAAGATGATTTGGGTCATATGTAATTTCAATGCCACCTTGCTCTTTCTGTGATGTTATTTGTCCCTCAATTTCGAAAGTGGTTTAATTGAAGGATATTTTTGTATATGCCCATTACGTATGCCCAAAACGTAGACTTGAAGCAAGTGTACCTCAGCATGAGTCTACTTTTAATCAATAGTTTATCCCTAATGTCCCCGGTGGTTTGTATTATATGCCAAATCCTACAGAGGACAGGGACGTTATTTATTTTGTATAAATTTCTTCTCGCTGATTGCTGAAGATATTTCCTATAGATTTCTTCCTGGAGATCTTTGATTGGTTAATAACAGATGAAATCGCAGACAGACAATCAAAAGCGGATATAAAGCAACGAAAAATCAGCAAAAAAAAATATCAGAAATTATAAAACCATGGCGTGTCTCTAAGGTGGATTTTTTTCTTTTTCTTTTTTTTTAATTGTATGTTAAATTATTTATTTAAGTCTCTCGTGGAGACTTCATAATTGTGAGCTTTGCGTGTGAATTTCAAACGCGGTCTGTAATCACTCAATCGCCCTACAGGCTTGTGAATGTTTTAACTATTCTTAAAGTCAGACACACTGATATATTCTAATTTTACTTGAAACCATGCCCTCTACAATAAATCTTTTTTGTCTTTCTTCCCAGCGTTTTAACATTGAATATCACTAGGAAATGGTTCTGGACAGTTCGGAAGATTCGGACAAAAATTAGAATYAAAAATGCAAGAAGGTGACGGTGTCTGTAATAATTGCCTTTGACGTTTAATCGTCGTTTTTATGTAGACTTTACACTCAATTTCCTATCGAGACTTTTACAACTTATTGTTGACTTTTTATTTGTTTTACCACATTGTTTTACCAGCATATGAAAGACAGTCCTTACTGATAAGCATCTATCCAGTCACAACATCTTTATATTCTCAGTCTGTGGGCATTTTATCATTTGGAGGGAAAGCGAATAGAATTAAAACGAACATTTGAATATAAATCCCTTATAAATAGAAATAGAAATAGATAGAAAAAAATAGATAATAAATAAATAAATAGATGTTGTTTGGTGAAGCCAGAGCTGCAAGCTCTAAGGATTTAGTTTATGGTACAGATTTTCGATAATATCTAGTTTACAAAAAAAGATAAAGCCTTTGAAGCGTATAATGATAAATTTATCGAAGATATAGGTTATTTTTGGTTAGACATTTATCGATTTATAAAACAATTTTCTTTAATTCATTTTATCAGTTTCGCCAAGGATCGATTGGCACTGTAACCACACCAGCATTGTTAGCCAATTACTGCGGGCCCTGAATGGGGGATCTATCGATCTGAAGTGTTTATTAAGATTTTCTGTATACACAGCTATGGACGTTTGATGGCTTCATTTTTATCGAAAATATCTTGAACTTCTGAAACTGGAACTCTTTTTATGCTCTGAATAGTTTTAAACAAATTAATAAACAAATAACCCTCCATATATTGCATGTTACTTAATACAATAATCTTTTAAAGTACCTTTTCAAAGTATTCCTCAATAAAGTTGAAGTCTTGGCAAATCTGCAAGGCTGGCGGTCTTTTGTCTTCGGAATTTCGAGATATTCAGCTCTGGGTGACACCGATTTTATGAGTAAACTTCTCAAGCGTTGAAGCTTTTAACCTTTAAATTACTGTCATCAATAACACTCATATCCACGAATAGTTAGACCTAATTTTAGTATTTCTGGATTCTAACTTGAAAACACAATTTTTTTAATACTTTTATTTATCGCCTACGTTTTGTCAATTGATAAAAAAACCTCTTAAAAGGTACTTTTTCACGTGTAAGTTTATTGTGCTCACGTGCCGCGCGCTTATACTCGCTGCCTACCGAGTGACCAATATATCAAGATGTTGATTTTGATTGCATTTTGTTTTCGCAACTGTTCATTGATTGTTTTATAATGGTAATAAGCTATAAAACCAACATCCCGCCATGATAAAGTGTGATATTTGTTAGAGCAAACGCAGGAAAATTATGAAATAAAATCAAACTAAATGCTAACAAATAGCGGCTAGACTATTTAGAGACAAATTGTCAGTATCAAAACTGATAGAGTCATTTTAATTTTTGTACTATTACCCCCTATTAGCTCCAAATAGTTTATGACATGTACAAACTATAGGCAAACACGGTTTTGATTTTGCCTTTTGGTAGGCTACTACATCCTACTAGTAGAAATTGTTTCACAGACGGAAGAAAATGACTCTTATTTGTCTCTAAACAGACGCTATTTGTTAATATTTATTGTGAATTTTTTTCATAGTTTCCTGTGTTTGCTCTATTTAAGTGTTTTTTTATTAAAAAGATAAAACTACAAAAGAACTTTTGCTTTCTTAGAATTCAGATAGCGCAATATAGTGTAACAGACCATAGAAAAACAAAGGAATTAGCTTAATTCAGTACAATCTAGTAATACTTATTTTTGAAATTTTGAATGTAAACGAACTACGTCATGATACGCCCACCTCATCTCGCTATAAACAAGAAGATGGCTGCAAAAGATCAAATAATCAACTTAATAAACGTTTACACGAAATCAAATTCAAACCACATCGTAGTAAGTTTCATTCTTTGTCATTAGCAATATTTGGTTCACGCTTTTTAGGGTTGGCACTCTAGTGCTTACATTCTACATAAGATCTCCTTTCAACTCGTTATTCAAAGCCTCGTGTTCTCCCAACAACCCTGCGTTTCTAACACTGAACCTAAACACGGAAAATATCTTCTATTTCGAAAAGATTGTCACGACCGAGAGTAGCGATGGGTTTTGCTAATTAACAAGAATTACCAACTGATTTATACTGTAAATCTGTGGTAAACATTGGCTGCATTTAGTCTCTATTTCTAGTCAACCTGAGCCCAAAAAGTGAAATTTTGTTTGTCAAAACAATATAACCATAGTCCCTTTCGGTCGTGCAATCTCCCTTCGAACATCGCCGTTCGCCGTTCTCCCCGAAAACGTTTTTTGAAATAGGTATAAGCAGTGCAATAAACATAGGGACAATGATGAGAATTAAAGACAAAAGCGGAATAAACAAGACAAACACCTTTTTCCTCGGCATCACTTTTAAGTCTTAAATATATTGTTTTTGAGCTTATGCACATGTCGCAGTGCTAACCGGCACTTAATTCAAAGCTATCGACTCACGTGCCGATTTGATGTTCTCACGTGCCGCGTGTGACTGATCCAGTAGACTACCTAATTTAGACTCTTGATGCACCCTTGAATCCCACTTTGGCACGAGGAAGTCTCTCTAAACTTAGATTATTATTTTGATTATTGTCGGACGTCAAAGAGATGGATGAACGAGATATTTATTGATAGATTGTGTTCTGTTTGGGTTGGAATTTATTTATTATCGCATCTTATTATAAGCTCTTTTAACTCCCATTCATGCGAGTGCAAACATTGTTGTTGTTGTGGTTGATTCTTCTTCTTCATGTTCTTCCTTACGGAAGTTTGTAGCATTAGAAATATTATCTTTCTCGTCGTTTTTACCGGGATTGCCAGATTAACGCTGACATGAAAGAAAAAGCGAAGAGGAGAGAAAAAGAAAAGAGCCAAGCGCCTTGAAAAAGGAGCACTAAAAATTGAAATGAGAAATTTACTCGCATAACTATGAACTCATATTTTGTATTTACAACCGCATTAGGCTCTAGGCATATTATTTATGACCTATTTTTATAAGTTTTTTTACATTTGACATTAGATTAATTTGTATCTTTCATACTTTCGATGCTAATGTTTACTTCATTGATAAGAAAAGATATCATAGAATTCTTTTTGTCAATTCACGTGCTACGTTTTTGAATTCACGTGTTATTTGTTACATCGGTAAAGCCACCGATCCAATTGACAAATAACAGGTTATTGTAATTCGTGAACCTCTCTAACATCAGGAAGTKCTTGATTTCTAGTTTTGATTATGAACGTCAAATAGCGGTGGGAATTGAACATTGAAGATAGATTGCGTTCTATTTGTGGAACTTGTGATTGATTGCTTGATCAATTCATTTATGAAATCCATACTTGCATTTGGCAACTTCTATAAGCATGTATGCACTTTTTTCGAAAGCAGGGCTCTTAAATTATCAGTTTTAGGTGATTTTATCCGTATTTTAATATAATTAATAATTGGTTATTGTAAATTACATTATGTAATTATACAATAAGCAAAGCAATTATTAACAGACGATTTGAACAGGTCACGTTGCCCCACCTCAAATTAACTTTCAACTAGGAACGCCTTCTACAATTGGTTGGTTACAGTTCACTCAGTGGCATTTTCATGGCATTTTGGCGATCAGCCCGATAAGGCTTTTCATTTAAAGAATAAAAAAAACATCTAAGAAATTTCTAGTCATACAATTTCTGTAGGAATTAGTAGCGAGTAAGTTTTTTCTCTCGTGTATTCATTCAGAGCAGCACGTTTGCTACCAGATGCTTATCAACCAACGATTTTTCCTTATAATTGTTTCCTATCCACTTGAATTTCAATTTTACAGCCATTCATACGGTACTTAGATATATTTTTGTACTAAACCTTAGCACCAACTCATTTCTGTTTTTAGTTKTTTTTTTTTTTAGTTTTTACATGGGGGATGTTGACTTAGGGAAAGGATAGGTCACGTGTTAATGTAAATCGTTTCCAGTAATAAATCGTGTTTATTTTTCAACAGATATCATCAAATGGTCTTTGCAGTGAAGAAAGGTATGTTGTATGTTTTGATATCAATTCTACTAGTTTATCTGTGTGAGATTCTTTCCTCCTCGTCATACAATGAGAAATTGGTTTTTCAGTTTCGATCACTGTATCTTCACACGACGGGGATGATGACATGCATTGGTCATACTAAAGCAATATTATCGTCATTTATACAAGGAATTTTTAAGACAAATTCCCTCCTAAAGCATGTCTCTGGTGGCAGGCTGTTAGCTACTAATGAATGAATTCATTAGTTCATTCCAGAACATACTGTAATAGCCGATTTGCATTATGGCGTCATTTACTACAACTACCAGAATGCTTTGCCAACTTTCTTTTCTAATGCAATTAGTGCYAATTGTTTTATTGATTTCCAAGGGGATTAAAAATATGAATAACAATGAAAATGCGCAAGGCTCTCTGGTAATTGTAGTTAAGTTACGTCATAATGCAAACGGCCTATTTATTCATGCAGCTTGCACGAGTTCGCAATCTAATGTTGTATAGTTTTGGACCTTGATAGTGATTGGGACTTATTTTTTAGCCTGAAAGCTCTTATTGAATCAAGTCGTATTTTAACTCTAACTCTCCTGGACTTCATCCAAGAACACAAGGTAATTTGGGTACCGTCTGCATAACTTTCCTCTTCCCTCCCTTCCTCGACCAGCACCTCCCTTCCCCTCCCCCATCGCCCGCCCCCCCTACCTCTTCATAAACCAGCTCAGTGTCTTCTTTCACACGTTTTTCTTTTCGATGGATCACACTTCAATGCAATTTGGATATTACACTTCTTTCAGGGATTCCTTAATCTTTCTCTATTTAACACTTTAGTTTCATAGCCTTTTTATTTTCTCGCTCATATTTCATTTCGGGCTTTGATGATCGACTTATAATGCACTTCGTTTCACGGGCTTTGGATATCGCTATATATTGCACTTTATTTCACGGGCTTTTTAAGTTCKTGAAAAAGATATTATACCAAGGCATTTTCGTAGCTGTAAACTCCATTGTCAATTACACGTTCCCTCTTAGATTTTGTTTCACGGTTTCATGTTTTTCGCAGTCTGATATTTGACATTTTAATTACAAGAAGTAACTGATTTTTTTTCAGGGTAGCTCAACGTCGTACGGTAGCTCTACAGATGCCAAAACCTTTACACTTGCGAACACGTCTACACCAGAAGASGCTTTTATTCCGTACCCGACTAACAACTTGATATTTRACAATGGTTCTCTTAAAGAATGGGATGGCAGATGATACAATGGGATCCCTGTGTAATCTCTAAWTCCCCTTCTCTTGCCAAAAAAGAGTTATGGCGGCCAAAGCGTCCTGCGCTTATAGACGTACAAGTTTAGAAAGAATACCTAATCGTGATCAAAAGCTGTAGATATCCTGGCATTTGCTCTGCGCAATTTGGCTTTGGGTTTCAGATGGCGTACGGCAGCCATGTTGGTAGGACTTCAACAAAAGATTTTAATTTGTGTACCAACAACAAAATATCGCCACCCTTTTCGTTGTCTTTTGAATCAGGAAGCGATCACTGAAAACTAGAACAGAGTATGATGGGTGATGTGGTCTCCTCGTTTTATATGTTCACTATAYTTTCGAAAAGCATTCAGCTTTGTTTTTTGTTTTTATTTGTGTTGGTGTTTATTTATTCTTTGTTGGATTTTTTTATTGTGTGTGTTTTTTGACAGTGTTTTTTGCTTGTTTTTGTTGTTTTTATTGTATTGTGTTTTGTTTTGTTTGTTTTGGTTTTGTATTTTTTCAGTTAATTTTTAAAACAAAGACGTTTGAGAACCACATCTCCCATCATCCTTTGTTGTACAAAATGACGTCATCTGACTACACTATCAGCCTTCAATTTATGTATTGTTACTGGTCATGTGCTTGTTATCCACACTGTCTTCGCTATTGGTTTTATTCATTGAACTTCAGGAAGTATGGAGAATGTCAAAAAAGAATTAGGAATTCACTAGAAACCATACGTTATTCCGGTCTATTTTTATCTCTATCACACGGTATATGGATGATATGCTCTCATTGGATAACTTATGATAGGCATTGGAAGTCACGCACTAATGTGGGATATTTGAATGCGGTTTGAGCTGAGCATGCTCACTAGGGCAGTGTAAGGTATCAAGTGATATCCTAGATTTTATAAGCTGTTTGACCAACTGCAAATCTTGATCAATGAATTGCGAAAATTTTAATTGTAAATTGTAATTTACTTTGAGCTGTTGTGGATCGATTTCAGTTTAAATGACTTTCACAATCGCTGGGTTGAGTTCTTTAAAGCTTGATTAACACATGAGTTAACCCTCGATTGACGACTTGCAACTACAGGTTCTAGGGTGACTTCCAATGTCGACTTATAAAGTAGAGCGTAAAAATAATATTTATCGGTATTTTGAAGTGAAACCTTGAAATGTTATCCAAAGTTCAATAAAATGCAGCTTATGGAAAATACTTATATGTTTTAACGACATATATAGAGCGGCTTTTAATTAAAATTTAGTGTTTTCTGTCTATCGTTCGTATGCCTTGTGTTTGGCAATATTGATCAAGATATCGCTGTGCTGTTTATTATAAGAGGTTTCATTAACTAAAAATAAATAGCTAACTGGAAATAAAATAACAGATAAAACATGTATTTTCAAACGATGTACAGTTTGTGACTGACAAATATCAAGAATTATTGGATGGGCTAGAGCATAATGTAATTTATCCGAATGTCGAGTCCTTGTAATAGAAAAGGAATCACTTGGAGTAGGGAATTGTGTAATGGAGGCTATAACTGGGTGCTTGTCTTACCTTAATCTTAAGAACATGCAGCCGTTATATAGTATTTTTTCCCCAATTTTCTCACTCTTAACAGTGAGCACATTTAGTAAAAATCGGAGAGGTTTGCACGTGAAATTTATGAGGATTGTTCAAAACCCGGGTGATTGTCGCGCGACAAGGCGTTCACACATGGAAAACCTTAAAAGCGGCGGTGAGAGAAAAGAGGCGATTGTCGCCATAGTCGCATTTCAAAACATTCCCAATTAGATATCTCAGACTGGTATCAGTTGAATTTTGATGCTAAAAGCTGTGTATCGCGTTTTAAGCGGGGACCATTTGACGCCCACTTCGATAACACGTCATGTTAGAGCGAATAATACGCCTTTTAGAAAATAGTTCTTTATTCAAAAGGGAGTATGCTACTGTAAGCACTTTTGTAAAGAAAACCATTGATACGAATTTATATCTTCAGTTTTAAAAGCATTTTATAATTGAAAGTGCAAATAAAGTAAGGAATCGACTCTATTATTATTCTTAGGACATTGTTTTTGTTACAAATATAACATTTTCAGCCCTCCAGTGGCGGTTTCAGAGCGTTCTAAAGTGGGGATGGATAACGAAAAAAAAATTTTTTTAATAGGCTTAGGGCTGAGGAAATTGAATTTTTTTCAGATGGACACTAGTCCAGAACTGGACCCTCTTTTCTCAATTACTATAGATAATATTCTATGTAAAAGTTAAAAATCCAAAGCGCGCGCTACAGAAAACCGTTGAGAACGCTGATTCAATTTCAACTCCGCGCGCGCAAGGATAAAAGAGGGTCCAGTTCTGGACTAGATGGACACTGATCTAGTTTTTTTTTTTCAGAGTGAATGCCTTTGAGATTTAAGAAGTAAAAGTGGGGCTGTGAGACACCCTAATCAGCAAATGTCTAGCCCTGCTCCTAAGTCACTTCATTTGCAATATTTTCAATTTTCAAATAGGTCAGAAAAAACAATTTAACATCACTGTTTTCCACAGAAGAGCTTACTAGCACATTTTATTTCGAATAAAAATGATTTTCTAAAAGGCGTCAAGTGCACTTGATAAAATGTCTAAATATCTCTGAGATCCAAACTAATATAAATCTTATTTATTCATGAGAATCATAATTGCTTTTTACATAGTGATTGCTTTCTTGACAAGGGCACCGCATCTAGTTACAGCTTCTAAGTTAAATTTGATGAGGATGTACGTTAAAAGCATTATTTCGCCGCCGCTTTTTTGTGCGTGGGACCGCCTGGCTGCCCTATCCAGAGGCAAACCTGATAGGAGCATTGCACAACAGGATATGCTGTACAAGAATGTCCGAAATGTGGTGTCTACTGATACAGGTGTAATTTTTTACCTCTGTTCTTTTATCTTTTAATGCTTTTGAATTCATTGTTTGTACTTACAACTAATCACTTTTAAGGCCTGAAAAACTTGAATTTACAAAATTATGATTGGCATACTATATTCTTGTTGGAAGAATCAATTGGTTGTATGATTGTTTTTCAATAAGACTTTAGATCTGTTTTATGATCTTTCAAAATGGAAAGGTGGGCTTGTTCTTCATGTGAGCCTAGGTATCTAACTCTAATCATAGTTTATATATTTTTTCTATTGTTGAAGTCTTTGAAGCCTTTCATATACATCTCCTTCTATAATATAATGCCYTAATAAATATTTTAGTGACATTCCATGGCATCTTACATGAAGTAGAAACCAGGAGTGTCCGACTYTGAACTCTTTTCGGAGATTCACGCAGACACTTTCACTACTATCCAAAGAAAACTTAGCAAGAAGTTACAAAAAACAACAACAGATCATGAAGTGATTTAATGGATATGWTTGTCTAATAAACTGACTAGATATAAAATAGAAATGTCCCCAAAAACCTTTAATTAACATGTAAGCAGCGATGCCTGTCCAGTAGGGGCAATGGAGGTCAAGAATGCATCTCGAGTTTCCAGTCGAAGACAGACGTTATAGCACAGGAGATTAGAGTGTTTATGTCTATCTGAGTTGTAATGTTCATGTCGATATGGCTTCGCCTGACGAGGCCGCGGCMATGAAAAGAAACATWGTTCATCAAACACGTCTTGAATTAGCACTAAAACAGCTTGACCGAGACAAAAGCGTCCGTATAAGAGAGATTGACAAAGACACTCAAGTATTTCTTCATCGTTTAAGTGAACGAAAACGTTCTTTACCTTCTCTTTCTGAACTAAACTCGATACCACACGAAGGACGCATTACCAGTGCTCCAGCAAGACGTAGTGGTACAAGAACTAATATAGCACGTCCTCACACGTCACCTCAACAAACTCGAAACCAACCAAG